TGTGCAGGATCTGTGGTGGGCTTTGCAGGCTGCAGAGCCCCCCATGGATCCTGCAAAGCCCACCAAAAGGTATTGCACAGCCCACCTGTGACTCTTTGGTAGGCTGTGCATAATCTATGCTGGGCCCTGCCAGCACAGTGCTCCTACCTTACACGGGAAGCCCAGCCTTCACTGCTGCCTCGGCGCCCAATCGTCTCAGCTTTGCCGCTCGACTGGCCCCTTGGCGACGCCTCCTCCCATCGCGTTCTCTGCCTTTGCCTCCCGTCTTCACAGGCCTCTTCCATCTCCCCCTGTCTCATGTCGCTCCGTGCTCGTCTCCTCTTTCATCTCCGACCCCATCTCCCTCTATCTCCACCCCCTGCCACTCCGTCCCCCTTCTCCTCCTGCTCCCTGATTTCTTTAGAAGCCGATTTCATTAGACAGTGTCAATGTGGGCTCGCGTGCGTTTACATTGTAGCAAAGTGTGATTTCTTCTGTGTCATCACATGAAATGATATAATAAAATATTTACAAAAATGTGAGGGGTGTACTCACTTCTGTGAGATACTGTACGTACATTGTCCAGTGTTGTGCTCAACATAGCTTTGAGGTCTGATTGTGATTTGAAACCAACATCCTTGGCTGCGGTTCCTAGGATAGGGGGTTAGTGGAGAAATTGTTAAGGACAAACAGCCCAGAGAAAGCAGAGAAAAGTCAAGAGTAATTCCATGAGGAAGTACGGGGGTAAAGCAATGGGTAGGGTTTGGAGAAGATAAGTCAGTCTTTGTAAGATACTTAACCGGTCTTTGTCTGGGAACGAAGTCAAGCGTCGCCTACTGCCCAATCAGCTCTCCTGGCGTCTCTTTGCTCCTCCTTTCTGAGCCTGCTGTATGCTTATATCCGGGACAAATGAAATGCGCAGCGTCCAAGTAAAACAGCTGTCACCAAGCACTTCCACTTCCCAGCTATACCACTCTTCATCCTGGCAGTGATTATTATATGTTTCGTTATTACTTACAGATAACGGGATTTCTCAGAGTCTTCCAGGACAGCAACCTGAGAGATGATTGGCTCCTCCTTCAACAGGAAACACAATTTAAAAATAGTTAAATACCCTCCCACCCCATTATACCTCAGTTGTGACCAAAGTATACTACCTCCAAAAACTCAGAAGGTAAAAACATACCCATACGACATATTCAAAACCAGGGTGGGAAGTAGGCTTGCTGTCCTGGAAGACTCTGAGAAATCCTGTTATCGGTAAGTAATAACGAAACATTTCTCCAATCATCTTCCAGGCCAGCAACCTGAGAGGATAACCAAGTACACCCCCAGCAAGCCTACCTTCTTAGGGCGGGACCACAGCTTGAAGCACTTTTCGGCCAAAAGTGAGATCCTGTTGCGACAGTACTTCCACACGATAATGCTTCAGGAAAGTATCATGTCGCAACCAGACTGCTGGCTTGCAAATCTGGTCAACCGATGCCCCAGCCTTTTCTGCCCAAGATGTCGCTAGGGACCTAGTGGAATGTGCCTTAATGGAGAGAGGAGGCTCTCACCCCTCCGACTGATAAACCGAAGTGATAACCTCCCTAATCCACCTGGCTAAGGTGGCTTTAGATGCTTGCAGCCCCCTTTCGGGGACCCGCAAATAATACAAAGAGATGGCTAGACCTCCGAAAGGACCTAGAGTCCTCCAAATATTTAAGCAGACACCTTCGCACATCCAAGGTATGAAAGGCCTGCTCTTTAACATTCCTCGGGACATCACAAAAAGAGGGAAGCACAATCTCCTGGGACGCCACCTTAGGCAAATACAGAGGGTCTGGCTTCAAAATTACTCTTATCAGGCAAGATAAGTAAATAGGGCTCCTTAGTAGAAATAGCCCAGAGATCCCCTACCCTTCTAGCTGATGTGATAGCTAAAAGAAAAACCATCTTTAAAGTTAACCATTTCATGGCCACCTCCCCTATTGGCTCAAACCGTGGTTTAGAAAGACCCCCCAAAATCAAGGACAAGTCCCATGGAGGAAATGACTGATCCCTTAAAGGACGGGTACGCTCTGCCGCTACCAGAAACTGCTTCACTAACGGTTCGTCTGACAATGTGGACTCGAGAAATACAGAAACAGCCGAAACCTGTACCCGCAGGGTACTGATTGCCAACTTCCTATCCAGTCCATCCTGCAAAAATTCCAAAATGACTGGAACCGAGGGCGAGACAATATTCTTGCGCCCACACCAAGAGGAAAACACCTTCCAGACTTTGCTATGGATCTTCCTTGTAACCAACTTTCTGCTGGTCAAAAGGGTCTCAATAACCCTAGCGGAACAGCCAGGCCGTCAAATCCGGATTTGGATGCAGAACCGGTTCCTGACCCAACAGGTCCCTCCGTTGAGGAGGACCCACGGGGGACTGAGACCCTGCATCTCTGAAAACCAAGCCTGTCTGGGCCACCAGGGTGCCACCTAGATCAGGGCACAAGTTGACCTGCTCAGCTTTTGAAGTACTCTTGGAAGCAGGACCAGAGGAGGGAATGCATAGCCCAGACTGAAATCCCAGTGCATCCACTCCTCTTGCTCCCGGTTCCCTGCAAAGGGAAAAAAACACTGGAATCTTTTTGTTGCGATTGCTGGCAAACAAATCCACTTCCGGCAGTCCCCACAAGCCGACAATCTGAGCAAACATTTCCTGATGTAGCTCAAACTCGTTTTGAAGGATGGGCCTGCGACTCAGAAAATCCACGGTCATATTGCACACCCCCCTTATGTGAACCGCCGAAAGTGAACATACCCCAGCCTCTGCCCACAGAAAAATTTCCTCCGCTACCTGTAGCAGTGCCGGAGATCTGGTGCCCCCCTGGTGGTTGATATAAGCCACCGTGGTGGAATTGTCTGAAAGCACCTGGATCTCTTTCCCAACTAAGCTTTCTTGACACGACTTCAGCGCTTCCCTTACTGCTAATTGGACGAGGCGTCCGACAGACCGCGTGGGCATGCTCCCTGAGCCTGTAACCCCGCCATGTGGGCTCCCCAGCCCCAAGAACTGGCATCAGTAGTGACATGAATGGGTTCCGCCTGACCCCACAGCCTGCCCTCCAGCAGCCTTTCCCTTGACGTCCACCAGGCGAGCGACCCCTTCACCTCCCTCGGGAGTTCCACTCTCTGATTGAGAGAGGCCTGAAGCCGCCTGAACCGGAACTGAGCCCAATTTAGTGCCGGGATTGAGGAGGTCATGACTACCAAGAGCCTCATGATCTCCCTTAGGGTCAACGATACAGCAGAAAGGGCGCCCAGAACTAACCCTAAAAGCTTCTGAACCTTCTCCACTGTGAGAAATAATTTCTCCGCTACTGAGTCTATCCTGTAGCCAAGAAAGATCACTGACTGATCCGGCACAAGGCAGGACTTCTCCAGATTTACCAGCCAGCCTAAATAGGCCAGCACGTCCCGCACCCTTTGCAGACTGGACAGAACTGCCACTACT